ACACACACACACACACGCGCACACACACACACACACACACACCAACATCTTCTGATGGAGTGTCCCGCTATCTCGGCCAGCCAGGAGCAGATATGAATAACTTTCTCTCTCTTAGCTGCAGACTCTCTTTCTCACACACATCCAGTTCCAGTTCAGGGTACATATGACTCTAAATGTTAGCGGTTAAAGGTCTTAAAATATGTGTTATGATAACGTGCTGACCCCTGTCCCCGCCCTGCAGGAGATAAGTTCTGGGTGTTCAAGGAGGTGACGGTGGAGCCCGGGTTCCCCCACAGCCTGGTGGAGCTGGGCAGCTGCCTCCCAAAGGACGGCATCGACACGGCGCTGCGCTGGGAGCCCGTCGGGAAAACATACTTCTTCAAAGGAGAGCAGTACTGGCGCTACAACGAGGAGAAGAACACGGCGGACCCCGGGTACCCCAAGTCCATCACCGTGTGGAAGGGGGTCCCTGACGCACCGCAGGGGGCCTTCATCAGCCGCGAGGGATGTGAGTACTAGCATCTATAATAATAATAATAATAATAATACATTACATTTTTATAGCGCTTTTCCTAGTGCTCAGCAGAGATGGCAAAAGTACACACATCCTTTACTCAAGTAGAAGTACACATATCCTTTACTCAAGTAGAAGTACACACATCCTTTACTCAAGTAGAAGTACACACATCCTTTACTCAGGTAGAAGTACACACATCCTTTACTCAAGTAGAAGTACACACATCCTTTACTCAAGTAGAAGTACACACATCCTTTACTCAAGTAGAAGTACACACATCCTTTACTCAAGTAGAAGTACACACATCCTTTACTCAAGTAGAAGTACACACATCCTTTACTCAAGTAGAAGTACACACATCCTTTACTCAAGTAGAAGTACACACATCCTTTCCTCAAGTAGAAGTACACACATCCTTTACTCAAGTAGAAGTACACACATCCTTTACTCAAGTAGAAGTACACACATCCTTTACTCAAGTAGAAGTACACACGTCCTTTACTGAAGTAGAAGTACACACGTCCTTTACTCAAGTAGAAGTACACACATCCTTTCCTCAAGTAGAAGTACACACATCCTTTACTCAAGTAGAAGTACACACGTCCTTTACTCAAGTAGAAGTACACACGTCCTTTACTCAAGTAGAAGTACACACGTCCTTTACTGAAGTAGAAGTACACACATCCTTTCCTCAAGTAGAAGTACACACATCCTTTACTCAAGTAGAAGTACACACATCCTTTACTCAAGTAGAAGTACACACATCCTTTACTCAAGTAGAAGTACACACATCCTTTACTCAAGTAGAAGTACACACATCCTTTACTCAAGTAGAAGTACACACATCCTTTACTCAAGTAGAAGTACACACATCCTTTACTCAAGTAGAAGTACACACATCCTGTACTCAAGTAGAAGTACAGATACTCGTGTTTAAAAATACTCTGGTGAAAGTAGAAGTAGTGACTAAACTTCTTTACTCAAGTCAAAGGAAAGAGGGCTTTGAAATGTACTTCAGTAAAAAGTACCCATAACTAGCAGCTGTTTTAAAGAGTACCTGACCTCCCTTTATATTAATAGAACAATAATGTCATTGTTAGCTAATGAATGTTTCCATGCTGAACAACGGCAACATGACAACCAAGAACCATGTTCAACCCTTTATTTAAAGAAGCCCATTAGCCACTTGAATTTCAAAATTGGCGACAATATATATATATATTTTCTATATATTACTATATTTGTATTATTATTTAATGTTATTATAGTTTTCTTAAAACAGTTCTCTATCTGTGTTTTTTATTTGTGTTTCACGTTTATGTCTGCACCACGACACCAAGTCAAATTCCTCGTGCGTGTCACCCTACCTGGTATTAGATCTGGTTCTGATTCTGATCTGCCAATGGTTCAATGAAATAGTGCAAGAGACATAATGGTGCAAGAAAAACGCACGATTGAGGAAAATATAAACATCAACAAATAGTTTATCCCTGTGAGGCGCCAGACTCTCACTGTCTGCAGGAGAGAAACACACTTCATCACTTCCACTTGTCAAGGCCTGACCTTGTGACCTTGTTGCGGCCTCAGAGGGTGTGTATGTGTATTTTTGTGTGTATGTGTGTGTGTGTGTGTGTGTGTGTGTGTGTGTGTGTGTTTGTGTGTGTGTGTGTTTGTGTGTGTGTTCAGAGGTGGTGACATGGTCAGTGGGGCGTGTTGTCTCGGTGTTAGATGAGAAGCTGTCCTGCAGGGACTTCAGAGGCAACAGACAAGTGTGTGTGTGTGTGTGTGTGTGTGTGTGTGTGCGTGCGTGTGTGTGTGTATGCGTGCGTGCGTGCGTGCGTGCGTGCGTGCGTGCGTGCCCTTGGATCCTTGTTCTTGTTCTGTATTTCATATACAGTAAATGTAGTTTTTAATAACCTTAAAGCTGTTATTGGGGCAAAAGTTACAAATCTAGGCTCTTCATAAAAAATGATAACTGATCACACATCTGAAATATAATTAACATTTTATTTAAATGAAATATAAATGTAATTGAATAAAAGGAGACAAGAAATCCTGTTTTACAGATAGTCTTTGTTGGTTGTGTGTTTGGTGAGAGTGTGTGTTTGGTGAGAGTGTGTGTTTGGTGAGAGTGTGTGTTTGGTGAGGCTGAATCACTTCATGTTTCCTCCCCCTCTATATCTCCCCCTCTATATCTCCCCCTCTATATCTCCCCCTCTATATCTCCCCCTCACATCCCATTCTTCACTCAGCGGCAGCGTCTGTCTCGCAGGCATTACATGATATTGCTCTTCAATAAGAACGACCACTGAAAGACTGTAGCTGCCTATAACCAACGTGTCACAACAGAAATGTGATTTCCTCTAATGAGATCCTGCGTCACGGGGATGAACCGGAGCCGAGCGAGGCGGCTGAGGACGCAGACGGATGATTTCCAGTTAGAGAGGGGGCTTTCCTTAAAGAGAGAACTGAGTGTGTGTCTCCTGAGAGTGAGCTCTTGAGGAAACATTGAGTGATCATAGTCATGTGGAATTTGGTCAGGGTGGCTTGAAATTAGATTGACATTTGGTTCCATGGATACAATTTCACTGTATTGAATTAACAGTTGTGATGTTGATGTTTTTTGAAATTCAGTACATTTTGAGGAAATCCCATCTTTCTCCTATTTTGGGGACTTGTCAGGGATTTGAGCCCGGGACCGATCAGCTCCCAAACTGCAGATGTTGGTAGATTTCATTGTGGTTCTGGGTTGGGACCCCCTTTTACGGAGGGAGTGAGATGGCACTCCCATGTCAGTAGGGCCTATTTTTTTTTTATTCTGTAAACGTTGAGGAAATCCCATCTTTCTCCTATTTTGGAAGTTCGTCCGGGATTTGAACCCGGGACCTATTACCCACGTAAACTTCAGATGTTGCTAGATGTGATTGTTTATCTGGGTTTGGAACCCCTTTTTACGGAGGGAGTGAGATGGCACTCCCATGTCAGCAGGGCCTATTTTATTTGAAATTCTGTAAATGTTGAGGAAATCCAATCTATATTCTTATTTTGGGGTCTCGTCCGGGATTTGAAACCTCGACCTTTCACCACCTAAACGTCAGATGTCGCTAGATGTTATTGTGGTTCAGGGACCCCCTTTTTACGGGGGGGGGGGGGTGAGATGGCACTCCCATGTAAGCAGGGCCTATCTTATTTAAATTCGGTACATTTTGAGAATAATCCACACTCTCCCATTCTTTGCTAACACAAACTGGGCGTTCGGCCGTGATTTGAACCCTGCACCTATAACCAAGTAAACATCAGACATCACTCATTTGAATGTGGTTCTTGGATTGGGACCCCTTTTTAATGCAGGGAGTGTCAGAGGTACAGTGTTGAAAGGGGAAGATACATTTCCCGCTGGCTCGGGAGTCGAACTCTAAAACCTGAGCTGTCCAGCTGGCACTTTCTTTTAAGCAGATCCAGCTGGCACTTTCTTTTAAGCAGATCCAGCTGGCACTTTCTTTTAAGCAGATCCAGCTGGCACTTTCTTTTAAGCAGATCCAGCTGGCACTTTCTTTTAAGCAGATCCAGCTGGCACTTTCTTTTAAGCAGATCGGGTCTTTCTCCCATTGTTTGTCATTAACAATTGGGGGTTGGTCCGGGATTTGAACCCGGGACCTATCACCATGTAAACTTCAGATGTCACTAAATGTGATGTGATTCTGGGGTGGGACCCCCTTTTCTATAGAGGGGATGCGATGGCCCTCTGATGTTAGCAGGACCGTTGATGTGGACTACTGAAATCTGTCAAACTAAAAGTTGATCAAGTCATGTTTTCAAAACAAGTTTCCCCTTAAAATGATGATTAACGATGACGTTAAATAGATTTTAAATGAAGTTGGGTTCAGCTTGTTTCAGGTTGATGTATATATATTTTGAATCTACTGTTAGACTGTATGTTGCATGCTTTACAACTCTCATTGACCTTTTCTGATTCCTTGACCCCCCCCACCCACCTTTCTTTCGTCATACCTCCCTGCCCTCCTCATCCTCCCCTCTTCAGACTACACCTACTTCTACAAGGGGAAGGAGTACTGGAAGTTCGACAACCAGAAGCTGACGGTGGAGCCCGGATACCCGAAGTCCATCCTGCGAGACTGGATGGGCTGCGATCAGTCGGACATGGAGCGCTCTGGCAGCAAAGGGAACCGTGGAGACCGCCATCTGCCGCTCGACGACGTGGACATCATGGTGACCATCAACGACGTCCCGACGACGGTCAACGCCATCGCCGTCGTGATCCCGTGCATCCTGTCGCTGTGCATCCTGGTGCTGGTGTACACCATATTTCAGTTCAAAAACAAAGGAGTGCAGCAGAGCACCATTACGCAGCACTACTACAAATACCCTGTTCAGGAGTGGGTATGACAGGCAACACTGCTTTGAAGAGGTCATGGATTAAAGACGACGGTTGGCTAGCTAATGTTGGCTTTAGGCCAGGATTGCTAGCAACAAAAACAATGGAAAGTCAACGCTGAAAGACGCTAATTGTGCTAGCTTGTGATGAACAGGCGGACACTGAAAATGCGTGTAGGTTTAGACATTTGATCAGTCTTAGAGAGAAGTTCGTGCCTGTCTTGTGACACAAGTGTAAAGCGGCAAGTTGTCCGATTATGACTTTTTCCCGTTCCTCAGCGGGGAGGGATAGCAATGGCTAGGATAAGCGAGCGAAGTCCACGAAGACTCCTGGAGGATCTGATTGGATAAGGGCAGGAAACACACCTCTCTTTAAGTGAAACGGGGTCTCATCAGCGACACTGAACTTTGACCTGAAACACAACTCTCCTGAACGAGGATTCGGGGCGGAAAGAATACGCTCCTTAAAGCCACCTCCAAGTTTGTTCTAACAACAACTTGTACACGGGAACTACTTCAACGTAACGACAAGAAAATAAAGAATAAAATATCAAACTTGAAGAAAACATGTAGGTAGAAAGGCCATATAAAAAAAACAAGGATCTCTTTAATTGAATTTGTATTTATAGTTGTATGGACCTGCAACATTTGTCAAAGAGGACCTTTTTCTCTCTTCTGAAGGACTTACGGAGTTGATAGAAAAGATGAATGACATTTGAACAGCCTTATCTCTGTCTCCAAAACATATGTGCGCATATTTAACAAGATGAACGCAAACCAGGGCTCGTATTTATCAAACTTATAAGTGACTTAAGAAACAAAAGAATATTCCTTTTCATTTACTTCTAATAACAAACTTCAAAAATAAAAGTGCCAGATGTTTTTAGTGATTGTTCAAAAATACAACTTTGTATTATTCTGTGTGTGCATGGATTGGATATTAATGCATAAGGCAGGTGTACAAACAACAACAATAACAAAACAAATTGTATTTATTTTGTATCTTACATCTTTAACTTACTTTTTCAACCAGCAGGAGAATTTTGGAATTAGTTGTTTTTTTACCATTTAAGCCAATTTCCTAATAATTGATCTCTTTTGACACTTCAAACATATTAAAATGCTTGTTTACAGATTGTTATATATTTTATTAATTGATACGTGTGATTTTGGACTTTTAAATCACACATTTTGCACTTACTATTAAAGCAATTTTCTAATAAATGAACAATATGACATATGTAGGGTTACACCTTCAGTCTTACATGTAGTCAAGCGTCCCTTATGTTACACGTTGCTACGTGATAAATGTCTCTCACTTCAAATATCTTTTTTAATCTGAGTTTTAAGTGTAATTCTTAGAGGTTTGGTAAATACGGGCCCTGACAGCGACAGTAGGTATTTTGATCGTGGTATTTCTCTCTGCTCCTCTACATGTGAGTGGATTAGAGATTTGCAAAAAAAGGAGGGAATCGAGAAGGGGGGGTGCACAGAGGATACATATATCTGTATTAGTATGCAGTCTGCAGCAAGGAGACGTCGACCAAGCTTAATGAAGTACTTCTGTTCCCAAAGCTCTGACAGGGGCTTCTCGTCCTCCTCATCCTCCCTCCGTCTCTTCTCACCGTCCATCTGGCTTCCCCTCTATCTTTGTCCCACGCTATGATTTAATAAGTGCTTTAATTGTTTGTTGAAACTAAGGAGCTTCTAATTTGTCTCCAGTTTTCATCAAAAAGTGCCAAAATGTCTAGTTTTGCCTCTCAGAAGGATTTGTTGACACTTTTTAAACACGCCTTGTTTTATTTCTGTACTTAGGATCATTAGATATGTTTAAATGGAGCATGATGTTTAAAAGGTGCTGGAGGTTTCTGTGAGCAGGGAAGTTAATGTACTTCAATAGGGTAACATTTGGAGAAGCGATGTGAACTAAGACAATGTAATGCTGACATGGTGACATGGAGGCATGGTTACAATCCCAATTACAAAAAGACTTCATTTAAGATTTGATAAAACAGATTGAATACTCTCATGTTTTGGGATGTGAGAAAGTTGCCATGTTCAACTTTGATGAAAGGATTTATGGTGGTGAAGAGATGAGGTTTTTTGTCTGTAGGGCAGACCAGAATTGAGCTAACCAAGGGTTCCCTCCACAAAAAACCAATGGGATTTTTGATTATTTCAGAAAATAGCGAAGCATTTTATTTATAGCTACACATGTTCTAGAACAGCAGCACTGCAGCTCTAACTTATTTTAATACACAAGCTGCTCATTTAAATGTCATTAACTCCATTGTGACTCATAACGGTTCATTTAGAGGCCAGTCGGATACCCAGAGGGCTTCTGGAGTCCCCCGTCCACGACCCCCCCCCCCCCCCCCCCCAGGCAGGAGATCACACGCTGAGTCACTGTCTTTGTGAGGAGATATTATTAACTAAACTATAAATATCCTCATACTGATACTGTAGAAGCGCATCACTCCCAGTGGTGAAAGAAGTACGTTTTAGTTCAATAAAAGTAGCAATACTAAATTGTTCAAATACTCTGCTACGAGTAAAAAAAAACTCCATTCAAAACCTTACTCACTAACTCACCTGTAGTGGAGTATAAAGTACAATATTAGCCTCCAAACTGTAGTGGAGGAGAAGTATGAAAAGGCCCAAAATGAAAACACAAGTACCTCAGAATTGAAAAGTTAAATACTTGAGTAAATGTACTTCAGTATATTCCACCACGTGTTTTTCCACATCACTCTCGAGCATACTTGCCAACCTTGAGACCTCAGAAATCGGGAGCATTTCAAAACCACCGCGGGGTGGGGGGGGGGGGGCAGCTGTATTAGATGAACATTAACATGCTTATTGTTGTTGTGAGGGCACTGCCTTGCGGCCTGTAGCACCATCCTTTATGGAGCATATGTGAAGGACAGGAGTGAGCAGAGGGTAGAGTTGTCGATTCTTGTTCTGTTTTCTGTGACTATTTTCCCCACCCTCTCAGACTTTCAGTTGCGCGCGCTACTAAAGAGACGCGCTACCATGGAAACCAAACAATGGTGTCGCTGTATTAAAGTCCGAGTGGAAACAGTCCTGAGTCAATCTGATTTAGTCAGAAATGCGGGAGAAATATGACCCCGGGAGGAAACCGGGAGAGAGCAATGAAATCGGGAGTCTCCCGCGAAAATCGGGAGGGTTGGCAAGTATGCTCTCGAGGCTACTTTACATGTAATCGAGTACATAATGTTCCCAGCTCTGCATTACTCACAGAGTTCATCGTCCTGCAGTAATTGAATGTGTTCCCTCCGTATATACCTGTGCAATTACTTGCTGCTGTCGAGAGCAATTCAGCACACATTCAGCACAAATCGATGGCGTTCAATGTCCCGACGGCGCTTAGAAGAAACACACGTGTTCCTCGAGGGGGTAGGATAAACGCAGAATAAGACATGTGCTTCTTTTACCATTCAGCCTATACACGTTCCGACAGGAGGGTCGTGGAAAACATGAATGTCTATCTTGAGAAAAACTGCCTGTTAGACCAATTTCTGTCTTTCGTTATACACATTTTAAACATATAGAAAGGAGTTATGATTCTCACATTTGGGACGGTTTAGGTTTATTTCACGGTTTCAATGACTTTATGATGAAATACACTTCAGGTGTTCTGCTTTAGTGCACTTATTACTACATAAGACAGGCAAAAAGAGGGTAGAAATGATGTGTTGTTCATATAATACAGCTCCTACTGCAGGTTTGTAACAGTGTGATTTCATATGAAGGATGGTGGGAGCTTTCACAAGTTATTCCACCCACTCCCACACTCCCACATGTAATAACAATCATATCTCCAGTTTAATGTCACACACCGTCATTGTGGTCCTTGGTGCTCATTCAATAGAAGACACCTGGCGTACGGGATTATGACTTCAGTGTTGCGTTCAGGGACTTCCTGCAGGTTTTCCAGGCTGATTAAAACACCTTTCTCTTCCTGACACGCTGCACTGATGCAATCGGGGATTAAGTGCCTTGCTTCACGGCACTTCAGCAGTAGATGTTTTAAGGAAGAGAGCTTCTCATGCCGTTTTTAGAGCTGATTTTTACTGGGATTTTCTGAGGCGTTAAAGCCGGCAATTTTCTGGTTGTTTATTTGTTTTTTTACGGTTTAGGCTCCTGTCGCCCCACTGTTGCTTCGACTAGGAATGACTCCTGTTCTCACCTCATCCTCATCAGGTTACAGTGTTTATATTAAAGTCATCCAAACAAATTGCATTCCCATACAACAAATGTACATTGTCAATCACTTTTTCAAGGGAAATGTATTTTCTCCCGATTAGTTTGATAATTTTCTTGGCTGTTTCTTACCTTAGTATATGGGACACCCACTCTACAGGGTGAGCTACCATCATGCCACCATCAGCTTGTGCTTGGTGCTCGGAAATAGGTCTCTCATCAAAGTCTGTTTAAGATTATATACACTCCTGTGTAAACCAAAAGTATACGCTGACTTATTTGAACTTAAGTTAGCTTAAATAACACGTCAAACATACATGTTTGAAGCCAAACCGTGAACTTTGACTAAACATTATCAAGTAGTTTTGTTGTTTTTCCATAAGTGGAAAACTGGGAGAAAATGTCCTTCGAAACCTTATTGAGAGTGCTTTTTGTATGGGGATGTCATTTCTAAAAGGAACGATTGTTAAAGGGAAGCGTTTGAGATGTTTAAGTGGCCTGCAGTCCTTAAGGGAAAGAGAAGGGGTGTTAAAACTGCAGGTCACACGTGATCTGAAAGAGACACCACACTGCGTTAACCCCCTGGGAGAAAAAGACTGAAACTGTGTAAATATTAATTACAGAGAATAGCAGTTTACAAACGTACAGTGTTCTTCAGCAGATGTCTGTTAGTGGAAATGGAAGTAAGGTACTTGAAGAAAACATACCGTAGTGATTTACTGTCGCCTATTCATAGACACATAAACACAAAATATATGTACATGAGATTTTTAGTTTGAAAGCTATTTATTCAGCTGGGTTCTTTACTTAGAGGGCGAAGGGTCCTCTGAAGCCTCTTTGATGGTTATTGTACGCAGACCTGGGACAAACTGCGGGAGGGATTTGTGCCACCATTTGATCCTTCATGTTGCAATCTCTTTGGACATTTCACACCACTTACTGTGCGTCCTTCATGGCGCTTCCTACGAGGAGGGAAGGAGCTTAGTTTCAGGTAGAAAAGAAACACAGAAAAGCTTCAGTTTTAGTCTTGAGAGAAGCAGCGTGGAGGGGTCATTTTGTCCCGGCTCTGGTGACGTTCTGGACAACAGTGAGTTGCCTTCAAAGAGAGACTTAGCTTTCTGGTGAAGCCACTCCCAAACAGCACCGACACTTTCTGTAGATTTTATTTACCGTAAATTCAGAAAACTACTCCCTTCAATCTATAATTACAATCACAATGATGCAGATTTGTCTTTAAGTTGTACAAACGTGGACATCTGGGTAACGCTCGGTTTAACAATCTTTAAAAAACATATGTAATTGTAAGAAGGTTATAAGGAGGCATCCATTTAAATTGGACAAACTAGTACACTAATGACTTTGACCATAGTTTGTATTCAAATATCAGAATCAGGTTTATTACCAGGTAGGTTTACACGTACGAGGAGTTTGACTTGGTGCCTCAAAACAAGAATTAAAAACACAGGTAGAGAACTAGACAAATATAAAAAATATAACAGTATTTACATTGCAATGGAATGGAGTAAGAAGGAATAAAATATGGAATAAAAATCGGCAGTAATACAAAATATTGTTGTATATGGTTTTCTTCCCAATCGCTTCCATTGGAAGAGGCGGCCATTATGAACAGCAAGGTTTTAATATTCAAAATAAAACTTAACCTATCATTTAGGACATTTAACCTTAAAAATGTAAGGCGTAAAACATCGCCTTACAGACAAAACAAAAGAGTGTATTTCAAACTGTTAGTATAAATAGTTGTCCCACTCCATCTTGTATTTTGTTCCAGCAATGGTTCTATTACTACAATTTTACAATTTTAGTTTGTATGTCAGCGTGAGTTTGGAGTGGCTTCCCGTGGCTAAGTCTTCCTTTAACTTGCCTGTTGTTGCCTTTAGTTTATAAGGTTCTCTTTTCTTAAAAAGTCAATATATATATGCGTAGGTGAATAAAAACATATCAAAGGTAGTCTGGGCAGACAGATATATTACAGTTCTTTGGATAATATCACGACTTCTACTAGTACTACTTCTAGGGAGATGTTATCAGATTATAGCTTTAAGAGAGATTCAGTTTTTTCTTTTCTTATAAAGACAAAGAAACGTTTTCTTTAAATACCTTCTGGTTTCTTTTTTTGGTTTGACGTTTTTTGACCAAATGGTTTGATTATAAAATCTGAATGAAAAAATGTCGATCATGGCTCACTTCTTTACATGTCATCTCGACGTCCTCTCCAGTCGGATGGCAAGTATCAGCTCATGTAAATATGAAGACCAATGTATTTTTATTTCTGTCTCATTTGAGATGAAAGTCCTGATTATTTGCACATGATGTTGGACCATTTTTATGACAATGCTTATGGTTGATAGGCATGTTTACGTTTATGACTTTCTGACGATTTTATTGTAATTCCACTTTTATTTCTTTATTATTTAATGAGACAAAGTTTGGTTATTTAAAACGCTAACATATCTGGAGCAGAGAAGATTTATTTCGTTCTATGTTTGGTTTGGTTTTACTGTCCCACGCCAATTATATACCAATAACACCATGTTCTGTTTACAATGACATGTCAATAAAGGTGGAAACTTCATTCTCTAAAATGTGTTTTTATTCAGACATTCAGACACACAGGCTCATGGATCATTTGTAATACAAGTATACTTTTAAAAGAAATTACAAATATTGACTTTCTGTTGAATATAGGCCTACCTGTATTCACTCTCTGTCTCCTGAAGAAGCCCCCTCTGCTCTGATTGGCCAGTGTTTCAGTCCCTGCACCATTCGTGTAGCCGTGAATGACTTTAGCATCACTTTCTACAAATATATCAATTGTTAATTGCACGGCTTAGTTTAAAACTCGATTCTGATTGGTCACTTTGGACATTCCAGAGGTCTGTTATTTTTCGTTAGCAGAGTGTTGTTGAGGAAAACAGACTGTTGCTAATGTCAACCACTGTTGCTAAGGAGAACAGACTGTTGCTAAGGAGAAAAGACTGTTGCTAAGAACAACAGACTGTTGATAAGGGGAAAAGACTGTTGCTAAGAACAACAGACTGTTGCTAAGGAGAAAAGACTGTTGCTAAGGAGAACAGACTGTTGCTAAGGAGAAAAGACTGTT